GTTAATCCCGTATATATGCTCTCCCCTTTTCCTCAAGCGTGTCTTCCAGGTGTCAACGTGCGACCCTCCTCCCACCCCTTCGCCTCCTACTTCCAACTCAGGGCCAAGCTTAACCTTCTCCCTTCCAACCGGACCTAACCACTTATCACCACCACCAGTGTCTAGACCCAGGGGTTCATCGAAACGGTCTTCCCTTCGCCGAATGACATTCCTACAAAACCTGGGCCTATCGCCAAACCACCATTTCATTCACTTGTATAAAACTGTCATTCATTAAGATTTTTCATTTATATAAATGTGACCTGATAAGTAAACATGTATCATATGTTCGCCGAATTGACATGAAAGCACTAATAAATGTAGTTTCATCCACTTGAGTTTACAAAAATAATCGATTTGTTTTTATATCACATCCGACGGGAGGAAATTCAGCAGCTCTCACTACCGATTTTTAATCCTAATTTAATCACCATCTTCACCACGATCATTTATGTTTATGTTCGCCGAATTGACATGAAAGCACTGACAAATATGAATATACTGTAGTCAACTTCATTAAAACGTTATTAACGTGCCTAAACTCAGTAATTCACCATTTCTACGCATGACAACACACTTTGTCCGTGTTTGGCTCTCTCGCCGCACAGTGAAGCGTTCCCGCATTGACGTCACTTCCGGCTTCCCCCAAAACCTCAAAATGAGTCGAAGGAATTTTCCCGCGATGTTCGAAATTATTGATATTTATCGGAACGGTATCGCTTTTTCTTTTTTAAACTGACGGTTCGAGATTACTAGTAGCCCACTATTTCATTGCACAACAGTTGTTGGGTTCGTGTCACAGGCTCTTTAACTTAAACTTTCGACAAGGTATCTTTATTTGAAATTGCGGCAGTGGCTCAGGCTGAAAGGCCGATCGGACCAGAAATACAGAATGTGGACCGTTTTGTGGAGAGGTGCCAGGCGCCCTTGAGCAAGGCACCGAACCCAACTGCTCACTGGTGCCGGACAGACTGGCATGTGTGCGCCTATCTGTATTACAATGCATGCGTGTTTTACTGTGTGTGTGTGTGTGTGTGTGTGTGTGTGTGTGTGTGTGTGTGTGTGTGTGTGTGTGTGTGTGTGTGTGTGTATTACAGATATATATAAACAAAGAGGGAAAACTGAACTTGCGCCTATGGGGATCGATAAAGACTCATGTTAAATGTTTTTAATATTATTTTTGTATAACTTTTAATAGTTAGATGATAGAATGTCTAAAATGACCATTCATGAAATTGAACATCTTTATTAAGTGTTTCTATAAGGAAAGGAAATATTTTTTTATTCTTGTCATTATGCCAAACACAAGTTTGATGAGGGGAAAGGTTTGAGTGTTTATTAATATAATGTTGGGTAAATATTGACCGAGAATAACAAGTTAACAACATACAGAAATAGTATGCTCTGTGCTAAATCAGCCAATTATTTCCCTAGCTTAAAAATAAAAACAACACTGCAGGTATCAGACAATTTAAAACGTTATACCAATATCTGCATCAAGGTACCACTGTTAAATTCACCTTGAACACATTAAAGAGATTGTATTGACAGAAATGTATTTTCATGGACTTAGTGTAAGCCGAACTGTCTGGCACATCCTTAAGATCCCAACAACATCTGAAATACTTTCTCTGACGGTGTGTACAATTACACACCGTAAAGGAGCTTTTAGGTAGTGACATGTTTGAATGAAGTTTGTTATCATACAGAGAGACACCTCACCTCTCTTTGCCTTCTCTGTCTCCGGCACCGTTTCGAAACCGAAGTGCGTGCTTCTGTCTCCGGCGGCCTCGCTAAAGCACCGACAGCTCGGCGGCTCCCAGCAGCCAGCGGGCTGACCTGGAGCACCAGCAGCGGTAACATTAACATTTCTGTGGGAAAGACGGATCCCCCTCCGAAACAGGAGTCTCATGGAGGCGGCCATCTTGCCAAATTATGCAACTATGCGACACTCTGTCGTCATTCACAGGCGACGGTTAATCTTTTTTTCAGACCGCCCATCAGTGTATTCAATGTTTTTAAATGTCAGCTATTTATTATACCACAACGATTAGTTGTTGTTCTCAATATCTGGCTTTTGGTACAATGTTCAAATATGTATAAAGATAAGTAATAACAAACTATGTTAAAACAAAAGTGAGTTTGAGGAATAATAATACAAAACATAATCAAGAAACAAATGATGATGTATTATCACATTTTAAGATGTGATATAGGCTACTTTATTGTTCCCCAATGATAAACCCTGATTATTTTTTAAATAGAAAGCAAAATGTAAATGTGAATACTATGGTATTCACATTTACATAATACGCTACTTTCCCTTAAATAAAAGATCTGAGTAACTCTTTCACCATTTGATTATTAATTGTTATGAGGACTTGCAAACGCTTGTTCGATGTGATATCCAAGGCTCATTGGTCACAGAGCCTGTACCCATGGGCGGTTCTAGGGGTGGGAGACAACGGTGGGAAGTGCCCCTGTAACAATGAGCCCTTCTGTGGCCCCCCTCCAAAAGAAGAGTTCATGATAATACAATGTCAGGTAGCACTGTGCTGTAACTAGCCAAAGTGAACTTAAATGCATTTATTTTTCATAATGTAATTTAATAATATGAATACTGAAATACTGAAACTAATTATGTTACTAAAGAACCCCACCAATGATTGTATTTTATGTTTTTTGTGTGCGCTAAAACTTAAATACTAAATGTTGAACACTGTCTTTCATGTCTGTTGTCTTGCATTAAATGTGCACCTCTCTGCATTATTTAGCTCATTGTATGTATTTTTTTTTCTTTTTCTGACATGTACATAGTTAACTTCATCTGCATTATTTGCACTTTGGTCTATCAACATAATCTGCACTATTTGTATTCTAATCTATTCTAATCTATTCTACTCTGTTTCTTCTTCTTATACTTTTTAATTAGTTTTATTGTTTGATGTCCTATATTATGTTGCATTGCCATATGGCAATGCTGGGGCCAGTTATTTGATGAGATTCAACAATGCAACATAATAATATATATATTCTGTTAGAAGTAAAAGTAATGCTTTCAAAATCTTACTTAAAGTGGACCTACCATGCTATATTTGAATAATATATTGTAGGGCCATTATAAAACATGTCTACACATTTTTTTTTTCAAAATACCAAACAGATCATGCATTTTAGCCATGCCTCATTTCGCTCTATTTGCTCTTTGTTAGCCCTGTGTTTGCAAGGGCTGAATCTATGAGAAGTCTTCTTCGCTGGTTTTGTGGCAGACTACAGCACCACCTACAGGCCTGGCATATGTACTACAGCGTCTCCAGTGCTTTGGAACGGCAATGGCCGTGGCTGTCTCCTCCTGATTGGTGGAGAGTTGCCCATATAGGCGGAGCTCCTCGTTTCTGACGTCAGAGATATTTCAAATCTGTATCAGATCCGTTGCAGCCCCGTTTTTAGATATTTTGGGTATGAAGGAAAAGAGAGAGGGTTGTGTTTTCTGACACTTGGTGAGTTCCCTGACACACCGGGGACAGATATTCATGTATAAAAGACGTACAAAAGTGCATTTTGCATGATAGGTCCCCTTTAAGTAGAAGTGCAAGCGCATTGGCATCAAAATATAATTGAGAGTTGAATTGCCCATTTCAGAATTGTGTATATTCAATTACTGGATTGTGTGTTTGTCATCTAATTGTAAGTGGTTTATATAAAACTGCTGTATATTTTAACCTGTTTTTAACCTCTAAGTTGCCACAGGGAGAAAATGACTTCTTAATTTATTAATAATGGCTAAATATAATAGTCAAGCACCTAACAAAAATGCAGCTTTCAGAAAGAATAGTGGATTTTGTGTTTTACACACAGGAATAATCTGATGTTAAATGCTGCAGAACACAGAGAGTTCTACCTGTGTGTTCAGTGTTAAAAACATGCATAACAACCATGCTGTCTAATGTTCATTTTTATCTTGACTATAATGTGATGTACATCCTTCTTTTAACCTAGGGTTGTGTAGCCCTTGCTGTCAGTAGGCCTACTCCTGACACACTGCCCATTATTCTATAACAATATAAAAAGTAAACATTTCCTTTAGTGATGGTAAAGAGAGGTAGAGATGAGAGACCTTTCTCTGTAATACTAATTAACGTTGGGTGCCCGGACTTGTCAAACATACCTCCATCTAGTGGGCAAGTACAATCATTACATCTTCAAAAATTACCACTATTGTGGATTAACATTTTTGTCCAGAAAAATTTCTAATCTGACTTTGAGGTGAGATTATTCTATTGAATACTGTTTCTTAAATCAAGAAGGAACTTTGAACCCACACTTTTAAGCTGACACGGACGACGTGTCCTGAATATTAAAAGAAGGATGATAAAAAAACAAATTCAAATCTCCTTTACTTTTCTCTCTGAAGGTTTTATTGGAACTACTTTCTGCTGAAGAAATAGTCCTCCCCTGACCTTTTTACAGTTTTCTATCACTGTACAATATTATAATGTTGCTTGTTTATTTGCACCCATCAACATAGTCAGCAAGTAACCTATACGTTTTAATGCTAAATATATTTGATTTCCATGCCCTCTCTTCTATGAGTTAAAACTATTGACATCCGTTGACCGAAATTGAAATAAGTAATATCCTTGCAGTCTATAAAACAATTTCAATCCAAAAACAGGGGCATAAACTGGGTCTGTACAATAAATGTGTGTTTTTAAACAAGTAGGAAATGCGAAACCCTACTTTATTCTCCAACAAATACATGGACATACATAAAATAGGCCTATCAATACTTAAAATGTCCAATAAGTCACGTTACGTTGATGCATGACGCAGGTTGCTATGGAGCTACGTACAGTTTAGTTAAGAAGCTCATTCTAAAATCACCATTTCACTCTATGGAGGAGAAAGCTGTTACTCGACGATTTTAAGAAATTGAACAAGGTATCACTGAAAAAAACGAGCCCACTTCAGCCCAGTTCAATTTTACAAAAAAGTTATCGAAGAAAATGTGAGAATTTAAAGAGTTTATTTAATAAAATGACTTTTGCCTTGCCTTTTTTTTTTCTCGACGATTTGTCATCGAGACACTTCAGCTAGTGTAGTCAAATATTGGGACAAATTAAATATATTTAATTACGGTAACGTTTTTGCTGTAAATAACCAACATATGAGGACAGACGTAACTATTTCACATCCTGCAATAGGCCTACTTATGTAACATTTAGTTTGATTAGTGTCGTGTCGGAGATGATCATGGCCTGGATGTCTCACACACACTCCCATACAGCAGGGAGATGTGAGCGTCCTGCAGGAGACATGGCCCCTGCTGAGACAGTCCCTCACACACACACACACACACACACACACACACACACACACACACACACACACACACACACACACACACACACACACACACATAAACACGCATGCATGCACACAGCCACACACACGTGTACGCATCTAGAATTATATTTAGGTATTTCAAAATATATAGGCCAACATATAATGTCTTCATGACAGGGTAAAGTGCGTTAGGAGCATGGTTAGGAGGGACAAACTTAGTATAATAGTACAATATTAGAAAATGAAACGTATTAGAAAATTATATACAACTTCCGCCACTAGGGGTCAGGAGTGCACAACGCGATAACATAGTATGTTATAAAAAAAGGGTCATTGGATACTATTCACTACAAAAATAAAAACAGTATGTAATCAAAAAGCCATAAAATAGTTAGTCATAAGAATAACTATTAATTAAAGTATGTCATAACCATGCCACAGTACAGTATGTCTTAAAATAATTGATAAACTAGTTCAATTTTCTTATTAAATTGTATACATATTTAAAAGATCATAGTATAGCATCTAAAAAATGATTGATAATATAGTATGTAATGAAGGAATAATGTCACCAAAAATAGTAATAACATGGTAACTCATAGAAAATGTATTTTATATTTCTTCATAAAAACGTATTGATAACAAAGTAGGTCATTCAAAAGTCTAAGTATTATGCTATAAAAATACACAAACATTTTGTATTTTTTAAGATAGTCATAGTATAGGTTGTCATTAAAATAATTGTTAATATAGCACGTCATAAAAACTCATAGTATAGCACACCACAAAAAGGCCATTGTGACAGCCCGTGCCTAGCCTCTGATATGGTATGCTTTTGCCTGTTACTATTTTCCGTGTTTCATTGAAGGTATCACAGGAGCAACCAGATTCAGAGCAGCTGGTCTGGAGTCTCAGACTCGAAGCTCCACTGCAGAGTGAACCTGCTCTCTCTCTCTCTCTCTCTCTCTGAAGCCTCTGCACATTCTGCCTTTGGTGTTACTGATACTATTTGGCTTTTTCTTTAGAATAAATACACCTTTATTTAACGGCATCAATTGTGTGTTTTCCTCTTTTTGTCATCGCTGAGAAATCGTTTTTTGGCACAATACAAAAGTCATATTATTTTTCACAAGGGGCCGAAGTAAAAAAAATAAAAGTGACCACAAGTGATACACAAATGTGAAAAGACATTGTCTTGAAGTCTAAATGCTACAATATTCATCATACTAGAGATATTAATGTACATTTGGTTACATTTGCTCAGGCTTTAAGTCATATGCTGTGATTGATTTGTATAGCACCTTTCATACAAGAATTGCAGTCCAAAGTGCTTCACACTTTACAGTTGAATTATCTTAAAATAGTCACAGATATAACATAGCATACAGTTACCAGTAAAATACATTTGTATCTGAATGTCTGTCACCACTTTGCAATACAAAGTGACGCCCATGCCTGTAACAGGCTATTAAATAGTCTACACATGAGCCAAAACTAATTCAACACATCAATCCTTTAGTAAATCTATCCTTCCTGAAAGTTATAATCTGTTTTTGTAGATATTGTTTTAGACAGATGTAAGGTAAACTTGTTGTCATTTTGGAG